TGTCTAAGAACCTCCCAGTTTATATTTGCATGTGTTAATAATAAGGCACCAGTGTGATGCAGCAATTAGACTGGCAGTCTATAACTGGGGAGATACAGATTCAAATCTGTACTCTGCCATAAAGCTCAACGGGTGACCTTGGGCCAGTCACTCACTCTCACCTTAGCCTACCTCACAGGGGTGTTGTCAGGCCTTCCTGGCCCTGACTGAACAGAAAGGTAGGATATAGGAAGTAAAGAAGTGGGGAAGAAGAAGAGATTGGATTTATACCCGCCTTTCACTACCCGAAGGAGTCTCAGAGCGGTTTACAATCCCTTCCCCTCCCCAGAACAGGCAACCTGTGGGACTGAGAGTGCTCTCCCGAGAACTGCCCTTGAGAGAACAGCTCTGAAAGAACTTGTGACTGACCCAAGGTCACACCAGCAGCTGCATGTGGAGGCATGAGGAATCAAACCAGGTTTTCCCCGATTAGAGTCTGCGTTCCTAACCACTACACCAAACTGTGGGTTGGATCCAGCCAGCCTTCTGGCTGGACCTCCTCCTTACTGAGGTCTTCATCCCACATGACTTTTTTCTATGTTCTTGAGTGTAGCCTTTTTTTGGAAGGGGGAGGGACAAAGAATATAAACTGGAAAGTTCCCCCCTAACATGTTACCTCAGCCCCAGTATTATCAGTTTCCGCTTTTCCCTTTCTGCAGTACGGGGACAATCAGATCATTCCAACTCGCAGAGCTGCTGTTAAGGATTTCTGACAGGATCATCCGACTTGTCCCCCTCTTTTCCTGCCTCTCCCCAGTTGTGATGCCACCGGATTTTCCCCTGATAACGTCAGCTGTACGGTTATGCGCCATCTGCTTTGTTATGATTAATAATGATTAGTACTAGATTAGTAAATAATTGTTTTAATTAATTTATTGTTATTGTTACTATTGAAATGTCATTGCCCTGAGCCCTGCGGTAGCAGGGGTGGGCGAGTCATAAACCGAATAAAGAAAATTTTAAAACAATGTATGCCAAGGGCTTTGATCCCAAGTAGGCTAGTCCACCTCCAGGCAGGGGGTAGAGATCAATGTTCCCTCTAAGCTGTGGAGTCTTGTGAGCAAAAATTCTACTTTGTGAGCTGCTGGCAGTAAAACTGTGAGGGAGCGATTTGGCAACCGTATGAAATTCGTTTGCTCTGGAGCTGTTCTTCCTGAGCTAAGACAAAAATGTGTGAGCCGGAGGCTAGAAAACTGTGAGCTAGCTCACACTAACTCAGCTTAGAGGGAACACTGGTGGAGATCTCCCGCTCTAACAACTGATCTCCAGGTGATGGAGATCACTTCACCTGGAGAAAATGGCTGCTCTGGCAGGAGGACTCTGTGGCCTTACAGCCCACTGAAGCCCCACCCCTCCCCAAACCCTGCCCTCCTCAGGCCCCACCCACAAAATCTCCAGGTATCTCCCAACCCGGAGCTGGCAACCCTAATCACAGGAGTGGACTAAAGGATTTATTTGTATTTGGAAACCATTTAAATCGCCAGCCACCGTTAAAAAGTTTTAAAAGTCTAAGTTCAAAACAAATACAAACCCTCTCTCAATGGGTCTGGTCCCTCTGCAAAGCTCCTTCTTCCATGTCTCCCCCCGCCGCCGCCTTTTCCCGATTCTCCAAAATCCTGTTGCTGGCCTAAATCCAGGCTACCCACTGCTGAGTCAGCTTCCCCTTATCCTTGACTACAGGCCATACATTTTTGAGCCCATCCTTGCCCACGCGTGTTCAAAACTAGTCCGGTTTGCTTCTGTCCAGGGCTTTTTTTGTAGAAAAAGCCCAGCAGGAACTCATTAGCATGAAAGGCCACACCCAACAGTAGAAATTCATTTGCTTATTAGGACACACCCCTGACAGCACAGCTCATTAGCATATTAGGCCACACACCCCATGTTCGCAGAAGTGTGTCATCCAGACACACTCACCTTCTGCTTCTTATTCTGTTTACCTTGTTTGTGCTCAAAACCCAGGGCTTTTTGATAGCAGGAACTTCTTTCCATGTTAGGCCACACACCTCTAATGTAGCCAGTCCTAATGAGTTTCTGCTGTTGGGTGTGGCCTGTTATGCTAATGAGTTCCTGCTGGGTGGGGCCAACTCGGGAGCCAGCCGGAACTCCGTTCCTGTGCGTTCCTGCCCAAAAATAGCCCTGCTTCTCTCTAATGTGTTCCAAGATTCCTCAAGCCTCAGCTACTGTATCAAGCAGAGGAGTAATTCCCTCTCCCAAGCAGTTGGCAACTCTTCTACTGTCTGCCCCCCCCCCAAGCCCAAGTAGTTCACCTACCCCAGGCACTGTAGAGGAGGAGTGCAGCTTTGAGAATCAGCTTCATTTTGGTGGTGGGCTCCATCCAGTTGCTTCAACTCTCTAGGGATATCTGCTGTCGGTTGCAGGACTCGGCGCCTCTACAAGTCATTTCCTAGGATTGCCACACTCACGTCGTCGCCCTCCTCCTGTATCCTTTCTCCTCTTCTATGCTTCTGCTTTATTTGGTCATTTGCATCCTCAGACGAAACACACCCAACACACAGCGCTAGAGGATGTTACGTTAGCTTGACAGGCAAAGGTGCTGATACACAGGCGGACGGCAAAAGCCATCTTTAACAAAAAGGTATCAGAACTTTTGTTAGTGGTGAAGGATGGTTACCCACCCTCTTTCCCCAAAATGCACAAGTACCGGCAAAAAGCAGAAGTCCGCCACTGAAGTGTCTCTCATTGTTGTTAAGTTTATGCTAGAAACACTTGTTATGCAATAGACAAATTGGGGAAAGGCTGGTCAATGGCAGTTGGCCAAAAAAGCTAAAAAGAACCATGTTCAGAGACATTAAGTCTTTCTAGTACTTAATTCCCCCAAGCCTCTGTTCCCTACTTGGGAGGCTTGACCATCCTATTGTCTCTTTCTAGACCTACGAGCATTTCTAAAAGGGTGGCTGAGGTGAGGGTGTAAAGCATGTAGAGAAAGAGGTACTTTTCTCCCTTTCTCACAATACAGGAACTCATGGGCACTCCATGAAACTGCTGAGCGGTCGGGTTAGAACGGATAAAAGGAAGTACTTCTTCACCCAAAGAGTGATTAACACTTGGAATTCACTCCCACAGGAAGTGGTGGCGGCTACAAGCATGGACGGCTTCAAAAGGGAATTAGATAAGCATATGGAGCAGAGGTCCATCAGTGGCTATTAGCCACAAGGTATAGATAGGGACTCTGGGGCAAGTGATGCTCTGTCTTCTTGGTGCTTGGGGGGGCAACAGTGGGAGGGCTTCTAATGTCTTGGCCCCACTAGTGGACCTCCTGATGGCACCTGGTATTTCTGGCCACTGTGTGACACAGAGTGTTGGACTGGATGGGCCTTTGGCCTGATCCAACATTGCCGTCTCTTATGTTTTTATGTTCTCCCCCCCTCCTGCCTGTTCACTGCCAAGAGACACAAACTTTTTTAAAATTCAAAGTGAAAAATATATTTCTTCCCAGCACCACTGAGCTTATCAGAAAGTGGACAGAGCCACTATAAGGCAGGGCTGATTATTTAGCTGCCCTCATTCAAATGAAACGGTTTCCCATGACTGGAATAACAGACAGCCGCTGGAGGATCAGGAGGACGGGTAAGCACCTGGGTTTTCCTTTGCCAGTGTGTGGTTCCCACTTCAGGATTTCCTCCTTCCCAGATGGTGTGAGGAGGGAGTTATTCTGTTTGGTTCCACTTCCTGCGGCAGCCATTCTGGAGTGGCACTCGCCAACCCCTCTCAAGATTCCCAAGTTGCCCGCAAAAGTTGCTCTCACCACCACTAACATAGCGCAGCCTGAAATGGCTGCTCCCAGGGGACAGGAAATTCCCTGGGAACAGCATGAGGAACTTATTGTCATCTCTAGTGGGAGACCAGAATCAGTAAAAATCCCTCCTCTTTAATTAGTATTAATCTACTGCTGGATAAGAGACCAGGAACAGGTCCAGCTCCTCCTTTGTTGCTAGATTTGAATCCAGTACCACCTCAGAGACCAATGAGATTTTGGGGGTATAAGCGTTCAAGAGACAAAGCTCCTTCCTTTGCTGTTTCCCAAGCCTCAGCTTCCACTTCTAGAGGAAGTACAAACTACAGCGGCAGGACACGGAGATTCTGTTCCTCAGTCCAGCGTGAGACCACAGCTGCCTCCACATGGAGCTCTCGGCTCCTCGTTCCTCTCCAAACTGCAGTGGTTTTAAAAGGGGCTTCCGTACGTTGCTTTGCGGTCATCTACCTCCTTGGTTTTCTTTGGCTCCCTTCCTGTTTCCCACACCTGAAAGACTGCCCCTGAAGCAGGCAATGCTGTGTGTTAAGATCACTTCGCCGGGGAAGGGGGAAGGGCTCAGTGGCAGAGCATCTGCTTGGCAGGCAGAAGGTCCCAGCTCCAGTGCCCAGCTGAAAGGACCAGGCGGTCGGTGATGTGAAAGACCTGTATCCGGAGACCCTGAAGAGCTACTGCCAGTCTAAGGAGATAGTATTGACCATGGATGGGCCAACGGTCTGATTAGGCAGCTTCATGTCTCCATTTTATATTTCGATTTCTTTTTTACAAGTACTGTCCTTTGATATTTTCCAAACCTTCATGTCTATACCGATAACATTTCTCTTGTTTCACAAGCCATGGACAGCACATATTGCAAGCTTTAAACCACTAGTGAACATGCGTACAGTAGGATCTCAAATACCGCTAGCCTAAGAGCGTAGGAGCTGCGGTGGCTCAAGTGGTTAAGACGCTGAACTGCAGGCTGTGGAAGGTCGGTAGTTCAGCAGTTCGAGACCCGGGTGCCGCATGATGCAGTGAGCTCCCATCTCTAGTTCCAGCTCCTGCCAACCTAGCAGTTCGAAAGCAAGAAATTGCAAGGAGATAAATAGGTACCACTTCAGTGGGAAGGTAACAGCGTTCCGTGCGCCTTGGTGTTTAGTCACGCCGGCCACACGACCACGGAAACGTCTTCGGACAGCGCTGGCTCTTCGGCTTGGAAACAGAGATGAGCACCGCAACCCTAGAGTCGGATTCGACTGGCTTTCGAGCAAGGGAACCTTTACCTTTAAGAGAGTAGGTGGCTAACAGATCATTATCATGAGAGAAGACTGGGAAAGGGGGGGGGCCTCCAAAGAATTTGGCCAAAGATGGGCTTGCCTCAGGATCCCATTCTGTGGCTGCTTCCTGCACCTGGGAGCAGCATTTGACAGTGAAAAGGAGGGGAACGGGACTCTTTGGAGGTACAGCCTAAGGGAATAATCTGTGTAATGGGGGCTGGAGGCAGCCCCCTCCCCCCGATAAGCTCTCTTCTCTGCATGCAAAAGCAGGTCTACAAATCTGAAGCACCGTAAATCTGAAGTCAGAATTCCTCTGCCCCACACTGCAGAAGATGGTCGAACAGTCAGTCACTTGCTTGTGCTGCCAATTCCGCGACTAGTTCTGCCACGAAGCTACTGGGTCTGCTGGAAGGGCAAACCTGTACTCCCACACACACACGCACGCTTCTCTCTTGCTCTCTCCTCCACGTGCCAAGGAAGATTATGCTGGAAGTAGGAGGGAGAAGAAGAGAAGCAGCTACTGAATGTCATACATCGCAGCCAGGGAACACAAGTAGCCACCGATATCCTATTTTCAGTACAGCTCACAGGCAGGGAAATGGCAGATGCGAATGACCCATCGAGCACAATTTAATGTTGGGGTTCTTTTATTTTTCACAAAACTGGAGACAGATGAGAAGTCAAACCTCGTCCCCCCTCCAGAAACATACCATCACGCACACGCACACACCCCTTTCCCCACCCCCCAAAAGTTCAGCAAGTTCTTCCCGGCTGCTGCCGTGCTGAGTTACACCCCTCACGCTCCTTGGGGCGGGACTCGGATTCCAATCACGTGTAGAGGTCAAAATCAACGCGTTTGGAATTGTAGAACTGACCACCAGCGTTCTCCACCTTCCGGCAGTAGACGCCATCGGGGAAATAGCCCTGGGACACCCAGTCCTGGAGGAATGTACAACAGAAGAATATTCAATGGAAATGGTGGCGGGGAGGGGAGAAATGATGAAAGAATTTGGGGGTGGGGTTTAAAAAGTGTTAAAGATGGGGATTAATTCAACCATTACTAGGACTCACACCTCTGGCTTGTAAACCAAGGTCCTTTCCGCATTAGACCTTACATCCTGGGTCAACCTTGTCCCCGAACTTACATCTTACACTACACTTGAGCTCACCCCTGTAATTATCTCAGGGTATTTTTTGTTTCCACATTACATTGAGGTCGCCCCGGTTTCACCCGCCCACTTGTCCCGGGATAAACGGATGCTGTTATAACCAGGGATAAATGCAAGGTATTGTGTCGCGAGTTGAACTCTGATAAAAACCAGGGATGAGATCCAACTGCAGAAAGGACCCAAGAATGACAGCCACAAATATACACACACACACACACAAGTGAAAAGCTAAAGCCAGTAAAAGATACTAACATATATAAGAAGCTAACCAAACAATGAACATTAAAACTGAACAATAATTCGAAATCAGTAGCTTCCTGGGAAAATCACTCTAGAAAGAGACACAGACTAAACTTGCAATAAAATCAAAAGTCACTATTGGCCACAATTCTTTATGGCATAGAGCAGTACCCAGTCATCCCTATGATGAAAGTCAGAGTGGAAAACCAGTTCAATCTTAGCCAACAAGGGCTTCATTTCTGTGTGACACTCTAGTCTTTTCCTCTCTATGTTTCAAACTTGAGATACAATTTGTCTTGTTAAATCCTGCCCCACTGTCCACCTTTGCAACTGCAGTGGAAGCCGAGTAAGAGACTAGCTCTATGGGGGGTGTTGCATGTTTGATGCTGCTAAGAAGTGTTTTTCCCCGACTTCTCACAGCATTGCAGTGTGTTTGTGCACCTCCTGGAGTTTCACCATCTTTGCCCTGATCTTTCCTAAGCCTGCTTTGTTCCAAAATTTTGGGAAAGATCACAGAAAAGCCTAGATGGGTGCCAAAATCCATGTCCAAAAGTCTGGATTTTACTGGTCTTGCCCTTAACAGCAGCCATTTTGCCCAAACAGCCATTTCCTCTCCCTGTCACCAAGGCCTTTTACTTTCACAACGGAATAGCATTACACTGATATATATGTATATCAGGTTCCCTGAATTCTCAGCTTTCATTTTAAAGTCAGCCTCCAGCCCCTTTTGTTGAGGAGCTATAAGGGGGGGGGAGGCATACTCCACAAGGAAAGAAGCTAAAGACTTTTTAATGACAGTTGGTAATTCAAAGAACCTGATTCGTATATTAATGTAATGGTTTATCGGTAGAACGCTGTTCACTCTCTGCCTTAAACTATGGGGGAAGCCTGCTGTGCTGAAACA